CATGGACCCCAAATCCCCATGGACCCCCATCCCCACTGACCCGAAATTCCCATGGATCCCCATATTCCCATGGATCCCCATCCCCACTGACCCCAAATCCCCATGGATCCCCATCCCCACTACCCCCCCCTCCCCACAGACCCCCACCCCACACAACGGGGTACCCAGAGGACCACCCTTACCCTATTCCCCGATCCAGAGCAGTCACTGAACGGCGTGGGGGCCGCTTTTCCCCTCGGTGGGACCCCCAAGTAGAGGGGCTGCCCCCACGTTGGCACGTAGGATCCCAGGTGCCAATCGCTGCCCGTCACGCCCTCCGTGCCCCCAAATCGGGGCTCCGCGGGCAGCGCTGAGGACAGGAGGAAGGGGCAGTGGCGGAAGGTTTTGGGGTCTCCATCCGTTCCGCTGTGGGGTTTGCTCTCCACGGGGAAGGGCACGGGGTAGCGGTGGTACCCGTGGCTGTAGAGGGCCAGGGGGCCCAGCACGGCCTCTGCCCAACGCGGCCGCTCCTTGGGGGGCTCAGCCCAGCCTTTGGGCTGCCCGTTTTTGGGGAGGGGCGGCAGCAGCCGGGTGTCCTTGGGGTGGCACGGCGCGTCCCGTGCGCACTGCGGGGCCGGCAGGAAGGGGCAGCCCGTGTGGATGCCGGCCGGTTCCGAGCATCCTTCGGAGCAGCTCCACGGGCAGCACTTGTGGCTCAGCTTGCCGGGCTCCTGGTAGCCGTGGAGGGGCGACTCGGGGGTCGCGCTGTGGGGTGGGACCGCCCCCACGACCCCATTGCTCTCCATCGCCCCGCGGGCGCCGTGCGCTGCTCTTCTCCAGCGCGGCGCGGTTTCCTCCATCCCCGTTTCGTTGGCCATGTGCTCACGTGCTGCTCCGATCCTATGGGGGCAGAGATGGGGGGGGGTCAGCGGGATGTACCCCCCCCTCCCCCCACCCCGCTCAGCCCTACCCCCTCCCAAGGTAAAAACTGAGGCACGGGGCTTCCCAGCTCCATCCTCACGCAGCAGCGTGGCAAGGGGGGAGGAGGGGGGGGGAGGTTAAAGGTGCCGGCTCCTCGTTGGCATGATCCTGGAGGGGGG